CTGCTCCCCCGGGCGGTAACCTGAGCAGGAGCTCCGCTGCCCGCTGGAGAGCAGCCAGCCCCGGCCAGGCAGGAGAGTGAAGCGTGGGGCTTTTATTACCCTGAGTGACCTCATTTCCCAAAGTTCCCCTTTTCTCCCTGTTAATTGCAGCAGGGCTGCGAAGGAACCCTGGGCCCGTCTTCTCGGCCAAATGGGCACCGCTTCAACCTTCAGGCTGTCTTGCCGATTTTTTTTAATGAGATGAAATCCTTCAGGCATGAGCCGTGGCAGCTGGTGGCTGCCTTTGCCTGGGGTTCCCAGTCCCTGCACCCGGGGGGGGGGGGCCCCGGTGGGGGGGGTTCCCAGTCCTTGTCCCGGGGGGGTCCCAGCCCCACTGGGAAGGTGCCTTCAGCCTCTCTGCATTACCAAAGCTTGGTGCATGTTGCACACTCTCTATGGATCAGCCACCAGCACCGTTCCCTGGCATGCAAGGGGGTGTCCGGCGAGCGGACGTGTGAGGGGTGTACCCTGCTAAGGCCCCCCCGCTCTGCCCGCGCAGCCCACAGCCCGCAGCCTGGGCCTTACGGAGCACTGAGTCCCGGGTTTGCAGAGCGGCACCAAGGTCAGGCAGAGGCAATGCCGGTCGGCCACCCCCGCTGTCCGCAGGAGTGTTTCCCTCGGCAGAAGGGATGGAGGGTGACCCCGAGAAAGGAGGGAGGTCAGAGCCAGCCTGACCTGCCCTGTCCCCCAAAACGTGGCTGTTCTGGCCCATCCTGAAACAACCTCCTGTGTCTCTTCCAGGGCAAATATGAAGAAAGATTCCTGAAGGATGAGACCATTTCCCAGCAGATCAACTCTGTCGAGTCCCTCCCGGAGCTGCACCTCTCTCTGGAGGATGAGAAGCCCAAGCAGCTCTTGCAGAGGAAGCTGCGTGTGAGGAGCCGGCCTCCTTCCAAGCCCACCATCGTCCGAGGGGTCACCTACTACAAAGCCCAGTCCAGTCCGCGGAGTCGGAGAACGACATCGAGGAGCAGCGTGAGTTGGGTTTGCAGCTGGGACCGGCGGAGGGGCTGGCTGCGTGCCGTAGCAAAGCCAGCGGTGCCCCCGAGTCCCGCCTTGGCCCCCGGGAATGTGTGGGCAAAGCGCGTGGGGTCACCATGGAGAGGAGGGCTTGGAGGTGGGACGATTGGTGCCTCACCGCTGGAGGCAGCGAGGCAGCATCCAGCCTTTGAGCCCTGCGCGAGGGAGCAGCAGAGCGTTGTTACTCCATGGAAAATCCTGGTAGCTAAGGAAACAGGTCACTGCTGTGGTTTAAAACACCCAGCATCAACACCTTTCCAGAAAGTAAATGCAAGTTTATTACATA